TTTTGCTTTTTCCCGGAAGTCTGAGCCTTTTGCTTTTTCCCGGCCCGGGAAAAAGCAAATTGGAACTCTGAGCCTTTTGCTCTTTCCCGGCCCGGGAAAAAGCAAATTGGAAGTCTGAACCATTTTGCTTTTTCCGGCCCGGAACAAAGCAAATTGGAAGTCTGAACCATTTTGCTTTTTCCCGGCCCGGGAAAAAGCAAATTGGAAGTAAGTCTGAACCATTTTGCTTTTTCCCGGCCCGGGAAAAAGCAAATTGGAAGTCTGAGCCTTTTGCTTTTTCCCGGCCCGGGAAAAAGCAAATTGGAAGTCTGAGCTTTTTGCTTTTTGCAGGCCCGGGAAAAAGCAAATTGGAAGTCTGAACCATTTTGCTTTTTGCCGGCCCGGGAAAAAGCAAATTGGAAGTCTAATACATTTCCAATTGCTTTTTCCCGACCCTTGGAAAATTCTTTGTCGTGGGAAACTGCGCAAGTATGGCGAAAGGTTCGCATTGTGGACGCGAAAGACGACAGGGCCAAACCCCACCCCACTCCACTCTTCCTGCTGGAAGCACGCGCTGGACACTCCAGCTGCAGATGCACTCATAGCATGCCCACAAGTGCAGGTATGTGAGGTGAGGTGGTGTGTTCTACGGCTGTAAGTGCGCATACAACACGGTCGTAACTCCCGGGAAAAAGCAAGTTGGAAGTTTGAGCCGGAAAAGCAAATTGGACATCCAATTTTCTTTTGTAAAGCCTGGAAAAAAACATCTTTTTCAGAGAGCTGTAGCCTAGAGGATAAGGCGCCAGGCTCATAAGCAGAAGGTCATGGGCTCAAGTCCCAGAGGCGCTGCTTGTTTCCAGGCCGGATTCCAAACTGCAAGTCTGATACATTTTGCTTTTTCCGGGGCCGGGAAAAAGCAAATTGGAAGTCTGAACCATTTTGCTTTTTCCCGGCCCGGGAAAAAGCAAAATGGCCCGGGAAAAAGCAAAATGGAAGTCTGAACCATTTTGCTTCTTCCCGGCTTGGAAAAAGCAAATTGGAAGTCTGAACCATTTTGCTTTTTCCCGGGCCGGGAAAAAGCAAATTGGAAGTCTGGCCGTTTTGCTTTTTCCCGGCCCGGGAAAAAGCAAATCGGAAGTCTGAACCATTTTGCTTTTTCCCGGGTTGGGAAAAAGCAAATTGGAAGTCTGAACCATTTTGCTTTTTCCCGGGTTGGGAAAAAGCAAATTCGAAGTCTGAACCATTTTGCTTTTTCCCGGCCCCGGAAAAAGCAAATTCGAAGTCTGAACCATTTTGCTTTTTCCCGGCCCGGGAAAAAGCAAATTGGAAGTCTGAGCAAACTGGCCTGACTGAGCCGTCTCTTGTTCATGGAGGGTTGTGCCCAACCAAAAACACACCAACATGAAAACTGCTTGGTTGGCTGGCTTCCTGTTCCTCAGCAATCAATGTGTCAGTGATCAGAGGACACAAGACGTGCCAGGGCAACTGCATGAATCCTTGAAAGCCTCTAGCCCCAACGAAAAACCATTCTCGCCGACAGTGGTAAAACCCCACGCGCGAAAGCTTGCGAAAGCTTCGCGAAGGTCCTGCGAAAGGCCTGGAAAAAATGAAAGGACTTTTGAACAACCCCCATGTAATGTATTATATACGACGTATACTATTGAAATGCACCAGCACCCATCAAATCCATTTTTCGCAACATCTAGGTGCACACGGACTCGCCTTCGGCACATAACAAAATCAAGAGACACACCATGGTGAGGTGCGCGTCTGACAAACTGCAGACGTCTCACCGACCGGCGACGCCTCACCGAAAAAAAAGGGCGAAGACCTTGAAATTGAGGCTGCAAGGAGCTGATTGTTAACCACTCCTAATTGGTTATGTTGGGAAAGCAATAGCTGAAGCTTTATAAATTAGTCTAAAAACCCAAGAGCTCTTTTTCACATCACGAATTAAAAGGGATTGGGACATTTCTTCTCTCAGCTGCCCTGAAACCATTGAAAATTCATGTCAGGTTTGCTTCTTGACAAAACGTCCCGCAACAGAACTTTGGCACACCTCTTGAAGAGGGAGGGAGGGTATGTTTATGTCTATTGCTCATCACCATCCACTAACCAATCATCATCATCCACTGAGTCTAGGGGACGATTGTGTGTATGAGTAGTTATGTACTTCTCCAGGGTTATCCAAGTTAGAGCGGTTTGGCACCTCGCACGATTTAGGAAACATGGGGCAAATGGGTGAGACTTCGCACAAAGAAGATTTTAGACTCCTTGGCAAGCCCCCATTAACATGTTCGATGAATGAACACCTTTTTGAATGTCTGGGATTGTTATAATTCACCCATTATATAACTAGACGCTTGGTCTCTCAGAACAGGGATTTGAGACCACGGACCCGTGTCCGATCCCTCCATATGAGGGTCCATGAGCGTTTGGGCTTAGTATGTGGTATGTGAGTATGTGTAATAGATAATTTTACAAAGCTTTATAATTAACACACACACATATATAATATAATGTTTGTGTGTGTGGGTTCCAAAACCGTCCTCGGCCAGCAGGACGAGCGAAGGATGGAAGATGATCTGAGAGCGGCCCAAGCACCGATGATGGAGGGAAGCACTCTTTCAAACTGTTTAAGAAGATCATCATTGATTAAACTAAATTTGTTCGTGGAGAGAGTTCTGGATGGAAAGAAATATTCTAAAAATCGATCCTTTCAGAACTCGGTCGCGCATTGCCACTTCTCCTGGCTGTGATGAACACATGTGTACACGAACGGTTCCACGGTAGCATCACATAGAACTGTGGTCAGACTGAATCAGTGACCTGACCACGCGGCCGGTCTCGGTCTGCCTGGGCTAAATAGCCCGGCCTAAATCGCCGACAGCCGTGCTAGGGTGTAAAGAACGTCGGGTGTGTTTGTATTGGACAAGGGAGACACGAGAAGCGTTGTGCAGTGAGCCAACCAGCTGGCCAGCACAATGGCCGAAGTTAGATCATTGGGCTCCCTACCAACACGAGGCATGGGTGCCCCAGGAAATTTGCGCAACCAGATGATGTCCATTGGTCCAAATGAATCCATTTCAAGTGATCTTCATTGACTTAATACAGTAAACAATGACTCATCAAGAGTCAATCCCAAGTTTGTGTCCCATGCCAAGGGGCCATCATTTGCTGCTCATCACCATCCCTTTGGAATGCCCATCTCCTGTGATCAGCATCCTGAAGCCCTGCCGCGAGGTGGGCTGCATGGAGCCCGCGAACCTCCGCAAGGACCGGGGTGTTTGGTGCGCCGGTGGAGAAGCCATGGCCC